CTCGCACTCGATGCAGTGGTTGACGTCGATAGGAATGGTGTCTAGAACAAACACAGTGCCGAAGCCAGGCAATGGCGCGAGCGCGTCGAATTCAAGGAACAATGTCCGGCAGCGCCATGCCAGTTGAGCGACAAGCGCACCATCGTAGAGCCGCCGGGCGTCGAGTCGTTGGACCACGGGAAAGAGGTAGGTGCGACAGCCATACACCGTCCTTGGCACCGCTGCGAGCCACATTGATGCGAAGTACGGCACGTCCCATGGCGCCACGCGCATGAGTAGCTCGAGGACGTCGACGACACCCTTCGGCGACACGTACTGTCGCGTGCGTCTCGCGCCAAATCTGTCGGCGCTCGTGTACTCGAACGCTGGTGCGATCGCCTTGATAAAGGCAGCGACGAGGCATTGGATCCCCGATGTCACCCGTGATGACGTCGGGTGCAGGATAAATTGCAAGAGGCCGGCAGCAAAGTCGCCAGCGCTTTGCACGCGTCCAACAACCCCATGCTCCACTCCCAAGCAGCGCATCGCATTCAGGATGTAGAAAATATCGATCGATGGCAGTACGCTTGGATACAGTTGTGACGCGATGATCTCGTCGATGGTGGTCGAGAGGACCTCCAAATACCGATGCCGAGATAGCTCTGGCTGGTGAGCGACGGCGCGAGCAAGCCCGTGCGATAGACGCCGGAGGCGCCGCGGCGCTGCACCAGCACCTACCCAGTCAAGCCCGCGGTCAAAGAGAAAAGAGTCGACGACGCCAAGGAGCGCTGGCGGCAGTCGCGTGCCGAGCCAGTTGCCGTGCACAAGCGCTGGTGCCACGTCTTTGAGGTACCAATCCAGAAGGACCTAGTGCTGCATCGTCAAATCGATGTGCTGAGAATAGGGCGAGTGGGTGCGCAGCACGTCCCAGCCCATCTTGACGAGCTCCCATAGGAACCGCGAACGCAGGCGTGGGCACAGAACGTCATCGCCGGTCGTGAGACCCGCCAGACTCGTGAGCAGTCGACACAAGTCGCTCGGGCCACGAGCGCGCAGCCAGAGCGTGAAATGGATTTGCGTTGAGGGCAGAAGCGCCGCGATGCCATATGCGACCAAGCAGGCCGCGGTGCACGTGGCCAGGACGCCACTGTCAAAGTCACGCCATACCGGCATCGCTTCGCGCAAAAAAAGCTCAGCAAGAGACACGTCATGGCTCTGGACCACAATGTCCTGGATACCGACCATGTTGCGAGCGGACCCTTGTTCCACAAAAGCGCCGATGGCGCCGAAACACAGACCATGGAGGCTGAGGCCGAGAGTGTCGCCGTCACCGTGACACACCGCCGCATGGGTGAGCGACAGCACAGCGTCGAGCGCGAGAAAGCTTGCGCGAAAGGGCTTGGGCCAAAAGACGATCTCGCAAGACAGTGGGGTATTCTCGTCGACAAACGTGTACAAGGCGCTCGTTTCGTGCGGGAAGCGCGAGGTGACGATGGGCGGGACTGCGCACGCGGGGTGAAAGAGCGCGCGCAAGACGTTGGTCGAGTAGCACGCTTCGATGCTAGCGCTCGAGTTTCGGTCGTCGTCGTCGTCGTAGTTGCAACACTACTTGAAGTTGACGAGCACGACATCAAAGCGACCGGTCGCCACGAGGACGTCGACCAAGGCCGTGTCGACGCGGCTGAGGCGATCGAACGACAAGTGGTCGCTCATGCACTTGATGGCGACGCCAATGCGCTGGTGCGACAGCGGCGGGTTGTCGGTGACTGCGTGCAAGGCGGCGAGGACGTCGTCGCGGGTCGGACGCTTGGCGCCAGGCATTTCCACACCAGCGCACGCCTGCTGCGCATCGCTCTCGCCCACGTCGCCCTCGCCCACGTCAGCCATCGACTTGCGGAGCAGGTTCACGGTAGCTTCGTACGATGGGATCCACGAGCTCATCGTCGTCGGCTCTAAAATGATGCTGCACGCCAAGTAATCCAAAATGGCATCCTTCGGATTGGTCAAAGCAACCAACTTGGCGATCGTTGATTGGGCAGAACCAAGATATGGACTTCAAGATGTGGTCCATATCTTGGTTCTGCCCAATCAACGATCGCGGTCTGCTTCATGACCCTTGTTCAAGGAGATGGACAGCAGTCCTTGTGGCAAATCAACGTCATAGGACTAGATGTATTAGCATAACTAAAGTATCGCGCTGGATGACGGGCATCTACATTCCAGTCCGCAATGCTTCTAGACCCACTTAGAGAAGTACTAAGGCGTATAGTTCTAGCCTGTAAACGACATAACATTATCCTCCTGTTAATTTCAATCAAGTGCCATAAGCACGCCACCCACGTACAGTCTTTGGGTCAGCCTCCGAGCCCAAATGTTTCGAGCGCCAAGCAATTTTGAAACCAAGTCCCAACGAGGCCACCGACGTCGTCGTCGCGTTCAGCAACCACCCTATCTACGTCATATTCCAACGCAGCGTCCAAGCGAAAACCCTCCAAGCATGCAGAGCTGATACAGGACAAAACACTTCACGTTCTCACAAGCACTACAGACCCACACGGAGCCATCTATCTCGCCCTACGGGGCGTCGTGCCGAGGGCGCTTGGGCGTCGGTTCATCCTCATCCATGGCGGCCGCATGGGTGGCAAGCACGTCATCGAACATCGCAATACGTTTGGTGTCGTCCTTGAGCTGCTGGATGCGCCTGTGATATTCGTCAAGATCGTCAACCGTCGCGCGACCGGGTTGCACGAGCTTGCGCACGACGTAGGAATCGGTCTGAGCGTAGCCGCCCATAAAGCTGCCATTAAACAAACCGTCGTCAAAGTCGTCAAACTCGTCGTACGGGTCGCCGTACGCGTCGTCATCCCGCTCGTCCAGCTCCAGTGCGAGCTCATCCGCATGGTCATCCACGAGCGCTTCCAGTTGCGCGCAAATGACATGCGCTGCATAGTCGTACTCGGCGCACAGCCCGTTTTGCAAAAAGCGTGCGAGTCGACCGCACTGCTCGCAGTGCTTTGCGTCCACCGCAATGTCGGCCAAGACAAAATCGTTGCCAAAGTCGGGCACCGGTGCGAGCGCATCACCGTCGAGGAACCGTGCGAGACACGCTGTCGCAACCTGCGCGACGAGGTCAAGGTCTATGCCTTGGAATCGCGCGCGCAGCTGCTCGACCACAGGATATAGCACAGAGCGCGTCGTGTCCAGCGTTGCTGGTAGCGCTGCAAGCCACTTGCTGAGGAACGACGGCACGTTGCTCGGCGCCGCCAACGTGAGCACCGCAATGACGTCGACAAAAGCTTTGCCGTCTCGCGCCGTGCGCGGGGCGCCAGAGCCGTTGGTAAACGCAGCTGCGATCGAGACGACATACTCGGCGACGAGCGAATGTGTCGACGACGAGACCGGTGACGTCGGGTGCTGGAGAAATCGCAAGACGCCGGCGACGACGCTGCGGTTGGAACTGAGCTGTTGGCACGCGTCGAGAAGACGTACAGTGCACTGGCCCAAGCTGTGCATTGCGTCTAGCATGGCACCAACGTCGGTCGACGAGACCGAGTGATGGACGCTGTCAGAGCTGCTCTGAATCTCACCGATCGCGACCGAGACAACGTCCAGATATCGCCGCCGAGACAGTGTCGGCTGGCTTGCAATGGCTCGGACAAGACCCCGTGGAACATGCTGGAGGAGCCACGACGCTGACGTGTGCGCACCCGAGAGCACCGAGCCAAACGGGCGACAGTAAAGGAAGCTGTCAACAAGGAGCGTGAGCGGAGGCGGCAGGCGGGTGCCGAGCCAATTGCCATACACGCACGGCGGCGCAACCTCGTCGAGATACCAGTCGAATAGAATCCAGTGCTCGGCAGGAAACGACACTGCGTCCCGAGTCAAGACGCGAGGTGTGATCTGAGCCCAGCTCAACTTGACAAGTTCGCACACATACGGCTGTCGCAGCGGACGGCACACTGCGTCGTCGCCCGTAGTGACGCCCGCGAGGCTCAGCAGAAGCCACGTGCTATCCCGCAACTTGCGGACACGTAGCCATCGACGGAGAAGGCTCTTGACGGCGGGAAAGAGCAGTGTCCAGCCAAACGTGGCCAGACACGACTGGACGCAAGTTGCCAAGTCCTGGATTGAGATCGCGCGCGCGTTCGAGACTACGTTGCGAAGGAAGCTCGCTGCGAGGTCGACATGGCGGTGCTGGATCAAGAGGTTCGTCATCGCATGCATGTCGCGTGCCGTCATGGTGCAATGCGACGACGTTCCGGTGTCGAGGAACGTGGTGAGGATGCCGCGAAGAAGCTCCCGAGCGCTGAGCCCGAGGCGCTCAGTATCCGTGGTAGCAGTCTGCGCGAGAGTGAGAGCAGCGTGGCGCCCGACGAGTCCTGCGCGGTACGGCATGAGCCAAAACGCAATCGCGTGGGGTGATGACGAGCCGTGGACGGCGCCGAGTAGCGTGTCGATGCGTTTTCCAGGAAGACAGGACAAGACGTCGGCTGGGACCGCGCATGCGTGGTGCGGCGTCGCCACCGAGATGGTGTGACCGCCAAGACGAACGAGTGCCACGTCAAAGCACCGTGTCGCGATCAAGGCATCGACGACCGCTGCGTCCATGTGTGGAAGGCACTCGAACGACAAGTTGTCCAATTTGCGCTCGAGAAGAACGCCGAGGCGCTGCTGCGCGGATGGCGGGTGCGCGGCGATTGCTTCAAAAGCAGTGACAGCGTCGTCGTGGGTAGGAAGCGGCGGAATGGCGCGTGCGTCCATGTCCGTAGCCACCAAGGCGTACACAAGCGCAACACGACGGCCAGATCGGACCGGCGATGACGTGATGGTAGCGTTGAAGCGCGTTGCGAGCACTTGCACTGTCTGGCGCGACGGACGCTGCACCGTTGAGCCGCCGCCAAACGCCGTTGCGATCTCGCCGCCATCGACACAAGAGGGCAGCGACACCAGAAGCATCCCAAAGACATTGGCAATGTCAGGTCGCGGCTTGAGGCACATTGACGAGCCATGCGTGTCGATGCAGAGATGCGAGAAGACAGCGACGACGCCCGTGTCGGTGACGCGCAGCGCCTGCTGGACGTCGGGCAAAAGGCTCGTTCGCACGATCGTCGCCCACGCGTCTTCGTTGAGGATGCGAACCTTAGACGTCGGAAGGATGCAGTAGTGGGCGTAGCGCGTCCGGAGCTGCTGTTCTTGGAGCAAGGTCATGGACCAGGACAGGCACCCGTCAACGCCGTCAATGGTCAGTTGCGGCTGCAGGTGCCACGCGACGGTGCTCTGGTAGGCATAGGCCGTCGAGTCGCGCAGTAGGTCTAGCGCGGCTTCGTAGGCCGCGATCGTCGGGTTGGTCGCCCGCAGCGCGCTCATGGCCGACGTCTGAGCTCGGTGCCAAGCCTCCAAACTGCCGATGGGACGTACACTCTGAATCCAGTCGTATGGATTGGTCGAAAATATGTATTTTGAGATGTGTGATTGGTCAGGATTTATGATTTCAAGCATTACCTTGCACATGCTTCGATTCGATCGATGAGGCCGTCATAGTATGGACAACGTAGGCGCGTCGCGGCTCCATTGTCTTCTCGGCCAATGCAAATGTCAACGCGCCCGTCGAACAATTCTCCTCGAATAGATATCTCTTTTGATGGACGGTATCATGTTGCCTGTGATCCCGCCGGCTCTAGAACACCTAGCTCCCCGTGCAAGTTTACCCGCGCGTCACGAGCCGACGACAAGCTGGCAATCTGTCTACGTACAGTAGTAGGGGTAGCCAGGTCGCTCGGGAGCCTGCGGATCACCTCCAACGCGATACCGTCCTCTGCTTGCGCGCTTCAGCGACGAAGTCAGGGCCAAATGAGTAGTTCTTGACCTCGAAACCAATTGAATGTCATTCTATTGAGTCAGGGTTTGATTTGAGATTGGACATACTCTAAGGAACGAGCCCACGTATAGCAACCAGATAGCACAACGATAGTTGACGTGTGCAAATGGATGGCAACGTGTCTCGAGCGGCGAACGCCTTGTCACCAAGCCCGGGTGTTTGGCGAATGCCTCTTGGCGTATAGCTGTTGGTGTATAGTACGCGGTTGGAGTCACGCGACGTCAAGATGCGTCCAGGAGCTCCCTGCCATACGTCGTTGCTCTTCTTGCACCTGCGTGCTGCCACGTCAAAAGATCGCACGTTACTGGATCGCGCGGTAGAAGCATTGAAACCGATTCCAAAAACGGACCAATCAGCACCGTGCATTTTTCTTGTCTATTGTATATCTCTTGTTTTGTATGTCGAGCGCTGGCAAAGTATTATAATACAGCGACGCGCGCAAAACCGGTTGCTCATTTCCGATTTTGCGCCATGTCGAAGAAGCCCAAGACCGCGCCTGGACCGTCGCCCCCGACGACGCTCCTCGCGTCCCTCCTCCAGTACATCGGTCCGCAGCTGGACGCCAAGGCCTTGCTCATGGCGCTCCCGCAAGACGAGCTCGCCCCGCCCTTCGCTGCGCTGCGCCGCCTCATGACGACCCCGGCGGCCTTTGACGGCCAGTGGTCCATGCTCCGGCTTGACCTCGTCCCGGACGCGTACATGAGCCTCGTCTTGGTCGCGTTGCCCGCGATTCCGCGGGTGGATCTCTCTATATGGTACACGCGTGCGGCTGCGGCTGACAAGGAGGTCTGGCTCGCCGCATCAGTCTACAAGCTCAAGTCGATGCATCTCTCGTGGCTCAAGATGCCATCCGTCCATAGCGCCTTGCCCATGTGCACGCAGCTCGAGCGTGCTGGGGCCGTATCGAACCCGAGCGAGATGGCCGAGGCATTGCGTCTGCTGCCACCGAGCGTTCGGCGATTGGATTTTGATTCGGAATGCTTCGACGACGCGTATCTTGCAGCCTTGTCGCCGTGGCTACGGAAGGGACATGCCCGACATCTTTGCTTCGTACAGCCCGGCGAGAATTCCAACGTTGTCGGCCTTGCGGAGCTGCTGGCGTCGACCACGTCCCTCACGACTTTGGACCTGGACATGGACGCAGATCTCCTCATCGACGCACTGGCGGCCACAAACCTTCCTCTCGACCACTTCAAGGCCATCCGGTTCTACTCGAACGCTGATGACAACGTTGTTCGTTTCTTGCATCGACTCGACCACGCCACGCTAACGCGCCTCGATGCCAGCGGCTTGCGCGACTTCCACTGCCTCGTCCCGCTTCTCGCCGAGATGTCACAGCTTGAAGAGCTGGCGCTCCGGCTTCCGACGGATTCGGTAGTGCCGGCCGCCCTTGGTGTCACTCGCTTTCCGTGCCTGCGCGTGCTCACGATCCAATTCTACGAGCTCGCGTACGACTGCGTTCGCACGTTTTTTCACTGGACGTGCGCGTTACCGCAATTGACCGAGGTCCACTGGGTCGACGTGACGATCGGAGAATCAGTCGAGTCGCTGCGTCTTCTCAAGCAAGCCATCCGACGCTGGATCACGATGCTTTCGGTGCTGTCGTTTCGCGGCGACGACTTTGTCGAGAAGTGCCTCCACTGCATTGGGCACGCACTTCGCGCACGAAAGTCGAACCCACGTGCGCTCCTTCTCGACCTGGGGGCGGACCAGCTCCAGTATCTCATGGCCGTTGACAACATTTGCGTGCTTCTGACCGCACTTCGAGGTCTCGCACATGTGACGCTCGAGCTCTGTGTGAACCCCCAAGACGAGGCATTTATCAAGGCCTACGCACGAACAGAGCGCATCGCGATGGAAATCCTCGAACGTCGCCGGTCTTTCCCAGAAGGACGCGACGAAGGCCTCGTTCTACGCTGTCGCTTCCACGCCTTCTAAGACGATAATTGAGCGTTTCCGGGTCGGCCCCGAACTATCTTTCAGGTCTCTTGTCCACCGACAGCTCTCGGCAGTAAGAAGTTGCAACAAGACGAGACGACGGCATCACCACAAACAGCACTCTGCCTTCGGTCGCACCGTCGCTAGAGACCACGCCACGTCCAACGCTGACACTTCATCGTGCAAATCGCGGGCGGTGGCTTTGAGTGTTTTCTGTCACTGACATGAGTGACGTTGCCTTGCGACGCGACCAGACTCCTTGCGCTTTCGAACAACGTACTGTGGACCGTCGCTTCGGTTTGGGCGGCGGTAGCCGTTCCACTTGGCGCGGAAGAAGGCGAATTGACGCTGACGCTCGCAAACGAGGCGGCGCAGCGTCGCGCAGAGGCCGTCGACGGGAGCGTAAAACTGAATACGCTGGGTATCGCACAAAAATGTGGTAAACTTGGCGCACTGCGGGCAATGCGTAGCGCTCACCGCCACGCCATTGATGACACCATCGTTGTCATCCGGGATGGAGGCCAATGCATTGTTGTCCAGAAAGCTGCTCAGACACTGCGTCGCCAGCTGCGCCACGAAGTCCAGGTCACTGTGTCGGAGCCGCGTGCGTACCTTCTCGATGACGGGGTAGAGTGTGCAGCGGGCCGCTTTCAGTGTACGAGGCAGCGCCGCCTGCCACGCTGAGGTGAACGCTTGCACATCGCCTGGCGCGGCCAGCGTGAGCACTTCAATGACGTCGACGACACAAGTTGGCGACACGTTCTGGCGCGACATCGCAGTAGTAGTGGTTGCATAGAATGTCCCTGCGATCGATTTGACGGGGTCAGTGACAAGCGACAAGGTCGAGACCGCAACTGGTACCGTCGGGCGCTTGATGAAATGCAAGATGCCGCCGACAAAGTGGCCATGAAAGCTGATGCGCTGATACGTATCCATCGTCCGCTTGGTGCATTGGCCAAAGGTATGCAGCGCGTCGAGATTGCTGCCTATGTCGGCCGACGATACCGATGCAAGTGCTCGGCCATGTACTCGGCCGCCTGCGATCTCGTCCAGTGCCGTCGACATGAGGCTCACGTAGCGATGAAGCGACAGCGTCGGTTGACTGGCCATGGCTCGGACAAGACCCGTGGATAGATGCTGGAGTTGCCAGACCGCTGTCATTGTTATGCCCGAGAGCACCGAGCCAAACGGCCGCGTATAGGGTTGCCGTAGGGGTGGGCACAGTGCGCAATTGCCTCAGACAAGACCCACCACGAAATGGCCCATGTCACTCACGCTATGCGTTTGTAGCCAGCGCTCGAGGAGGCTTTGGAGTGCGGGAAAGAGTACCGTCCAGCCATACGTCGCGTGGTGGGCGCCAACACACGTAGCAACGTCGTGGATCGTCATCTGACTGCACGGCAATGCGTCGCGAAGGAAGCGCGACCTGAGCGAGACGTCGTTGCTCTGGATCAAGAGGTTCGTTATGGCATGAATCTCGGTCGAGAGACGGTCGCCTCTGTACTCGCAAACTCGCAAAAGCGACGCAAGAATCCCGGAAAGCAGGTCGCGTACGCTGAGACCGAGGCGCTGGGTGTTCGCGACGGCGTTGTATGCGAGAGACAGAGCCGACGAGAACCCGAGAGTGCTTGCGCGGTACGGCTTGCGCCAAAATGCGATCGCGCGCAAGGATGTGGTTCTGATGGCGTCACCAACGAGCGCATGGAGTGCTTGGCCTAGGAGACTTGCCGCGACGTCGACGGACTCCGCGCAGGCGGGATGCGTTTGGGCCGTCGAGATCGCGTACGTGCCTTCAGCGTTGTAGGGACGTACGCGATCTTGACAGCCCAAACACACCCGTTGGAAGAGGCGTTGGATTCCGGGATTCCGGGATAGAGCGTCATCCAGCCAAACAACGCGATGAGCTCGTAGGATTGTCAACGACGCTGCGTGGACATTGCGGAGAAGAATCTCTGGCAGCACATCACGGAGAAAGAGCTCTGGCAGCTTGGCGTTCTTGCACTGGATCAAGACGCTCGTAATGGTGCGGTGCTCGCTTGGTGTCGACGCGTGTAGCCGCGACAGTTGGCGCCGCAGACGAACGTCGCGAGGATGCCACGAACGAAATCCTCGACGCTCGTTGCTGGCGGCATTTTGTGCGAGGCGAAGCGCAAATCGACGCTCGACAATGGTCGCGCGGTATGTTTTCGGCCAAAAGACGACGGCAACGGACGCTGACGAGCTGGCGAAGCTGTGTCCCCAAGAAGGCATCGACGCTTCGACCGTCGAGGCGCCACGGTGGGTGGTATGGCACACGCTGGGTGCCACTCGGTCTTTGTGATGACGTGAACGCGCCGAGTCACGTCGTTGCCATCGACGTATTAGTGTCGGAGATGAACTAGGGCGACGTCAAAGCGGTCTGTCGACCAAGGCCGCGTCAACATTTTGGAGGTGATCGAACGACAGCTTGTCCAATGTACACGCAACGTCGACGCCAATACCGGTATATAGGTTCACGGGCAGCGGGTCCTCAGCGATTGCTGTCCAGGCGGCAACGACGTCGTCTCGGGTCGGTGGCAGCTCGAGGTCACCAGCGTGCTTGGCCTCGTAGATAGAGGCGACCCACTTGCGCTGGAGGGCCATTGCAGCCTCGTATGCTGGGATCGTTGGGGTCATCGGCCAATTTGAGACTGATACCCCGGCAAAATTTCCATCAAACTATCAACACCCGGTACAAACCGTTGCGATTGGTCCATATTCTGCAACTGGCGCTCCCTGATTGGATAGAAATCGGGCGTGTATCAAGCGCCAATTTGTCCAAGTATCAAGTTGAAGCAGACCAAACGCAAAGCACAATCAACGCATGCAGCCTCGATTGTCGTGCATCGACTACGACCAGTCGAGCTAATCTGTGGTTGTACAACGTGCGTCGGGGACTGCGCTCTCTCAGTACGATTAGTATGATGCTACAAGCCACCGCCGAGCTTAGAGCGCGCCCGCTTGCTGCAAGAGCAGCGTGAGCTCGCCCGTCTCGTGGAGTGCCTTTGTATCGTCGCAGCCGCCGATGGTTTTCCCCGCCACAAACACATTCGGTGTCGTCTTGCGGCCCGTGAGTTTCTGGAGGTTGAACAAGATCGCGTTGCCGTCGTCGCGCGTGTCGATCTCAATCACGACCGCGTTGGCGCCGAGCGACTTGAAGAGCTTCTTGACGTCCTTGGAGTACGGGTCAAACGACTTGGTGAACACCACGAGCGGGTTCTTGGTGATGCTCTAGTCAGCATGCAAACCGTCAGCTGTTGCCACGTCCATCGATCGATCGTACGTCGAGCACGACCGACTTGGCGAGCGCGCCGATCTTGTGCAGCATCGGCGCCAGCTTCTTGCTTTGGTGCAGCGCCTCGACGTCGTCGCCGCCGCCGATCGACTGTCCGTTGAGCAAGATATTGGGCACCGTGCGACGGCCCGTGAGCGCTTCGAGCATGTCCTGGTACTGCGACATGACGGCGGGCGGGAGAAGGTCAATCTCGACAACGTGGACTTCGGCCTTGAGTTCTTTGAGAATACCTTTGGCCTTCTTGCAGTACGGACACGTGGTCTTGCCGAACATGACGACGGAGAACCGCGTCGCAAGCGCATCGTGGATCGCGTCCGAGACCAAGCGGAGCTCCGGCGTCGTGGGCACGAGCGCGGTGATCGTCTCGATCGCGTCAAACGCAATGGCTTGGTGTCGGTTCTTCTTGGCCAAGTACCCCTCGGACATGACTTCGGACAAGAGCTTGACGTTCGGGTAGCCCGCGTGGACGCGGCCAAAGACGGTGTAGCCTGGCGAATCGGCGCTGGGCGCGTTGATCGCCGCTATAGAGTGTTGCGTGGATGAGGATGACGTGTGGCATGGCTGGTATCGTGAGAAGGACGTACTGTTGTCGGTGAGCATGATGGAAAACTCAGTGCTACCCGACGACGGGTCGGTGGACCGCGCGAGCACGACGGTGCGCTCTTCGCTCGGCAAGCTACGTGGTTCTGAGCACGTGACATGACGCATAGCTGGCGTACTTGTATTCGACGTCGACCGTGCCAAATGGCGACACCTTGTCGTGGACAAACCCGCCGGCCTGCACGAGAAAGTCGGGCTCGGCGCGGTAGAAGCCCGCGTCCTTGGTGTAGTACCCGGCCGCGACGAGCTTCTCAAAGTGGGCTACCGTGCGCGGCGCAGCGTCCGGGAAGAGCTCGAGTACAAAGTCGCCTACGTGCTGCAGCGTCATATCGGTCGGCCCACAGAGTCCTGTCGCGCTTACCATGGAGCGTCGACACCTTGTACATGGTCTTGTTGACGAACGGCAGCATGTCCTCGAGCGGGATCGGGTCAAAGAAGAAGAGAAACTTGAGGACAGCAAGGGTGAAGATGGCGCCGAGACCGTACGGCAGGTAGGCCATGGCGCCGGCGCTCGGCGCCGGGCGACGCGACTTGTGATGCGGCAGCATCGTGCGGCAATCCGAACTGCCATGTGGCCGCGTACTTGTGATGCGGCAGCATCGTGCGGCAATCCGAACTGCCATGTGGCCGCGTAGACACACGATTTGCGTTGTCGAAATATAGTGTATACAGCCGACTAGCGAACGAAACATCCAGCGGCAACGATCCGGACCTGCCGCGTCCCACCCTATGTCGTTGCTTGTTGCAAGCCGGCGCAACCGTCATCGCTCCGGCAGCAGCGTGCGCGCGGCTGACGCGGGAATGCGCGACGTCGCCGGTGCAGCGCAGGGTGCAGACTCTGTCTTGGCTCACTTGTGATATTACACTGTATCGTACAGTACTCTACCCGCCGGACGCGGATGGGACTGGGGTGCCGAACTTCGAAGCGCGCGTTGATTGGCTTTTTTTATTAGCCAATCCCCTCGCGCCAGTGTCGAGTTGTCGATGCATTTGGTCTTTGTATGCTTTTCCTCGAAGGGTGCGGGAGCCAGCTGCGACATGCTGTCGGAACACGAAGTTGCATTGCACTTGGTGTTTGTAGCCGCGCCTCGAAGTTCCATGTGGCATTTTATTTCATCCTGGCGTGCGAAGGCCATACAAATGCCAAGTGCAGTGAGTGGTTCGCATTTAATGTCTGTTGGGTCTTTTATTTTATTACGCCGACGAACAACAACCCCGAAGGTTGGCGGCCCAATAGCAAAGATCTCGCCGAGCCCATCCCGCTGCCACCACCAGCCACATGCACACCATGATGCTGCGCTGCGTCGAGCTGCTCAAGCGCGTAACCTCGTCGTCCTCGGCGAAGCGCGGGAAGCAAGAGGTCTCGACGTCTATTAGCGGCGCCTCTACCGGCTCTGAGACGCCCGACCTCGATGAGAAGCCCTCCAACAACGGCGCCGACTGCGCCGACCCGCCGCTCGCGATCAAGTTTTCGCGCACCGATACGATGAGCTGCGAACTCGACGCGCTGCCAGAGCTGTGTCTTGTGAGCCCGGCGACGATCGCGTTCGAGCACGGTGCGTCGACCCTCTAGCGACAAATGGATGGTCTAACATCTCTCTCTAGTGCAATTGAAGGACCTCGAGCTCCTTGGCATCCTTGGCATTGGCACATATGGCGTCGTCAAGCTCGCGCGCCACCGGCCAAGCGGCCGCGCCATCGCGCTCAAGGTCATCTCGAAAGAGTACATTGTGAGCATGCGCCAAGAAAAGCACATTGTCCGCGAGCGCTTCGTGCACCTGCGCCTCCGCCACCCGTTCGTCACGACTTTGTACCAGACGCTTCAGGATGACAACTGCCTCTACTTGGTGCTCGAGTACCTCCCGGGCGGCGAGCTCTACACTGTCGTCCACTCGGAAACCAAGTCGCCGATCAAGCTGCAGCAAGGCGGGCTGCCCATGGCCGCTGTCCGCTTCTATGCGGCTTGCATCGTCCTAGCTCTCGAGTACCTCCACGCGCAAGGCACCATCTACCGCGACCTCAAGCTCGAAAACCTCGTACTGGACGCGTTAGGGTACCCCAAGGTGCTCGACTTTGGCTTTGCCAAGCCCGACGGCGTCGCGACTCGGAACGGCACAATGTGCGGGTCGCTCGACTACATGGCGCCCGAGATTGTGTCGCGCAACCAGCACGACCAGCGCGCCGACGTCTGGTCGTTTGGCATTCTGCTCTACGAGCTCTGCGTCGGGTCGACGCCATTCTCGCACCCCAACAAGCGCGAGCAAATGCGCTGCATCAACGAGGAGGCTGTCACGTTTCCGAATGGCTTTGAAGAAGAGCACCCGGACGTGTGCAGCCTCATTGGCCAGTGTCTCGAGAAGACGCCGTCGACGCGCGTCAATAGCATGCGCGCGATCAAGGCCCACAGCTTCTTCACCGGCACACCATGGCACAAGCTCTTGGCGCGCGAAGTCGACGTGCCCTTTGTGCCCGAGCTCCACGGTGCGTTTGATACGTCGCGCTTTGATTTCGCGCCAGAGGACGACGACGAGTACTTCGAGCCGTACGAGAGCGACGGCGACGACTGGGCCAAAGACTTTTAGGACCTAGTCACCAACTTATTATCTATTAGTAGTCATTGTATTAGTAAAGTCGATGAAATCAAAACGTCAATTGTTATTGGGGTTGTCGTCTTGCCATCGACAGAAGGACAAGAACCGACGTCAGGCAGCGCAGCACCCGTGGCGTTAAAAAGAAGCACCTTCCAACTTGCCGCAGCTGCTCTTGGAGCTACTCGTGGTGCACAGCAGCGACAACCTTGGAGGCAGTGGATGGAGGTCCTCTTCCATGCCGCCACGTATGCTGGCGGGTCGCATCCAGTGTTCCTGGCTAGTCGCAGACAGTGTATCGCGTCACACTCTCAGCCTTTGGACAGCGCGTCGCGTAGTTTAGCACAGTTTAGCCCACGTTTTAGGTCCTACGTTGACCGCCCGGTACTGCACTGCGGAAGCGTCAAAGCTAATAATGTGAAGAGACGCCGCGACGAGACGTGCAGGAGGATGGACACGCGGTGGGATTCCTATGCACACGCCGCCGGACTGAATTTAACGCAGTTTAACGCACCGGTTGAACTCGGATCCAAAATACCGTGCGCTGATTGGTCCAAATGGATTCGCGAATTGCAGCATGGACGATGCCAACGACGTGGCACCGTTCGCGCTCCTCGAGACCACGCAGCCGCGCCCGCCCACGACTGCGTTCGGCGACGAGTACGTGATGCGCTGGCAATTCATGGAGCGTGGAATGCTAATGGCCCCCACAGGCCTGCTGTGCTGGACGCTACTGCCGACGCGTCGGACGCAGCTGAGCCCTGCGCTGAGCCGACTGCCGGTACGCCAGCGCCTTGGACAATTCGAGAGAGCGTGCACTTGAGTGCTCGTCTGGTCGAGCTAAAGCGACGGCTGCGTTCGCGGAGCTTGCCCACAACAGACGATGTGCCACCGATCCCAGCCCTTGCACTCCACCCGGTTGGGCCGTCGCCGTCGGCAGCGCGGTCTTTGATGGCAAATGAGGCCCAGCAACACGTCAAAGCGTGGTGTGCGGTCAGTGCAGCGCATGCAGGCTACGATGCGATGCGACGACACTCGCTTGAGGTGCTCCGCGACGTGACGATTCGCTTCATCGAGACCATGGGCGCCAACCTCGTGCACGAGACAGAGAAGTGTGCACGTGCCCTTGATGGCGCACACTCGTCCACCGCCATGGTACGCTACGCAAGCAGCGACAGTACGCTTCAAGGTGTTTCACTTCTAGGCGAAGGCGTGTGCGCTCGCTGCGGGCCGCGTCATGCAGCAAGTAAACTGTCCACCTACCGCGCTGCGCGCCCACCTTGTCGAGACCATCCAGTACGGTAGTCACTTGCGCCAAGCCAACGATGCAGTACGCAAGCACCTCCTACGCGTACGGCACAAATGCCGCTTCCAAATGTGTGAAGAGACGTTCGATGTAGGACCCAAGCAGCACGACAGCGGGCAGCGAGCCACTGTACGAGGCACTGAGCGGTATACTCGATGGCGTGCGCGCTGGCACGGCCGAGTTTGCACCCCTGCCTCGAGCGGGCCTGGCTATGCCGACTCTACATGCGCTGCCGACCAAGACCAACACATCGTCGGCGTGCTCGATGAAGCGGCCAGCTTCCGCGACGGCGCCACGGCCCATGAAGAAGCAACAGTCGTTGGCACCGGCCAACGTACTACGCAGCGAGTGCATCGCAGCGATCGCCACGGGCTCCAGCACCCTCACGATCTCTGACCTCGATGTGACAGACCTTGGCGACTTTTTCGCCACCGACCAGTTGCCACTCGAGCCGTTCCTGCCGTCGCCGTCGCCACTTTTATAGCCAAAACACGCAGCCATTTCGATCTCGTTTGTGCGGCGCAGATAGCGGGTTGACTTTGCTAGCATTTGAATGGGTTGAGTACCGATTCATGTCGCGCGTAGATAGATAGATAGATAGATAGATAGATAGATAGATAGATAGATAGATAGATAGATAGATAGATAGATAGATAGATAGATAGATAGATAGATAG